CTTCCCCTCGCCGTGCGCGTGGCCCCCCGCGAGTTCCGCAGGGCCGGCCGGCGGTCACGTCCTGGGTGTGCCGCGTTAGCTCGAGCTCCCGTGCCCTGCGAGGGGAGCCTCCCGGGCTAGAAGCGCCGGCCGCCTTCGCCAGGGCGGCCATTACGTAGATAAACACGTTTATGTTGACTCCCGGGAGGAAGAGAGGCGTCCGCGGGGAGGGTCCGGGACGGGCCGCCTCCTGCGCGCCCCCTGCCGGGGATGGGCCCAGGCCCCGACCTGGAGCTGACCCTGGTTCCCCCGTCGGTGTCCAGCCAGAGCCGCACCGGGGCAGGACGGCCACCTTTAAAATCTAAGACCGGGTCGTTCCTCAAACAGAAATCCCCTAAGGGGCCCTCACTTGCCAAAGCCCGTAAGAGGCCCACCGGGCTACGAGCCCCGCCCGCCCGGCCGGGACGGCTCTCCTCCCGCGGCCCCGCCCTCCGTCCCGGCTCCCTCCCAGCTCTCGCGGGATAACAGGCGCACGCCCACCGCGCGGGCCGACCCGACGCTGGGCCGGGGCCAGAGGGGAGTTTCGGCGCAGGCGCGCTCCCCACGCCGTCCCGTTACGTGTACTCGAGCGGGGCGCAGGCGCACGCATGCGCGCTGGGCTGAAGGCGAGCCTCGCCGGTACTGGACACGTCACTAAGGGGCGCCAGAGTCCCTCTCCCAGCCCCGGGGTCCCGCGCATGCGCACTCTCCGCTCGCCTGTGCTCCAGTTGGGAAGACGCAGGGCGAGCGTCAGTGCGCGCGCGCTCTGCGCCGGCCGAGCTGAGCTGCGTCGCCGGGAAGCGGGGCGCAGGCGTGCGCAGGCGCGTTGGCCGAAGGGCGCGCGATGACAGGTGTCGCGTCCCTACGGCGACCTGCGATGGGGCGGCCGGCCTTGCTGCTGCTCGCGCTGTGCGCGGTGGGCGTCCGGGGGCTCTACTTCCACATCGGCGAGACCGAGAAGCGCTGCTTCATCGAGGAAATCCCCGACGAGACCATGGTCATCGGTTAGGCCGGGCGGGGGTGGACAGGGCCCCGCGCGGCCCCAGACGCGGACGCGGCCCCCTTCCGAGCGTGGGAGCCGGGTAGACCGGGCGCGTTGTGACAGCTCTGTCGCTCCGCAGGGAACTACCGCACCCAGATGTGGGATAAGCAGAAGGAGGTCTTCCTGCCCTCCACCCCCGGCCTGGGCATGCACGTGGAGGTGAAGGACCCCGAAGGCAAGGTAGGCCCTCGCGGGCTGCATCAGGCCGGCCTCCTCTGGAGCCCTCTGGGGTGCGCGGAGTCTGGAGAACATCAGCTGCCCCTGGAGAGGTCAGTGCGGGTGGGGCTTTCACTGACTGCCGTGTTGCAGGTGGTGCTGTCCCGGCAGTACGGCTCCGAGGGACGCTTCACCTTCACTTCCCACACCCCTGGTGACCATCAGATCTGCCTGCACTCCAACTCCACCAAGATGGTGCTTTTCGCTGGCGGCAGGCTGGTAAGAGAATGTTCTTTGGCTACAGCTTGGAACCTCTCACTTGGTTCCAAAGTTCTGATTTATCGCCATTATAATTTATGACACTGTGGCATAGTCACAGCTGGGGAAACAGATATTGACTTTCTGTCCCACAGTCAAGTGTAAGAGTGGGTTGCATAGTCTGGAACAGGCCATCTGAGGCTCCCCCACTCCTGTTTCTTACTCTGTGGCTTTGGGGCTCTGACCGACCCTGTGTCCTTGTAGCGTGTGCATCTAGACATCCAGGTCGGGGAGCATGCCAACAACTACCCTGAGATTGCCGCCAAGGACAAACTGACAGAGCTGCAGCTCCGAGCCCGCCAGCTGCTTGATCAGGTGGAACAGATCCAGAAGGAGCAGGACTACCAAAGGGTAAGGGCATGTCGCTGTACTGGGACCTGGCAGTTGACCTTTATAACCACCACACCCACTGAAGTTTTTGCTTGGGGCCTGCCCCATGCACTGTTCAGAGTGTGGAATGGAGGGTATCAGAGCAGTGATTTTCAACCTTTTTCATCTCATGGCACACATGAACTAATTACTAAAACTCTGCAGCACACCAAAAACATATTTTTTGCTGATGTGAAAAAAAAAAAGGTATAGTTTTTTTGTTTGTGAATCCTCACCTGAGGACGTTTTTTCCATTGATTCTTGGAGAGAGTGGAAGAGAAACATCGATGTGAAAGAGACACATTTATTGGTTGCCTCCCAACTGAGGCCGGGAATCGAACCTGCAACCTAGGTACGTGGTCTTGACTGGAAATTGAGCCTGAGAACCATAGGACCCTTCTGTTTGCGGGTCGACACTCTAACGACCCAGCTGCATAAGCCAGGGCTAGGTATAATTTCAATTCATTCACACTGGACGGCTATTGTTGTGCTGGCCATTGTCATTTAAATATATATATATGTCTATTGATTTCAGAGACAGGAAGGGAGAGAGAGAGAGATAGAAACATCCTTGATGAGAGTCATTGATTGGCTGCCTCCTGCACGCCCCCTGCTGGGGATTGAGCCCACAACAGGGGCATATGTCCCAACTGGGAATCCAACCGCGATCTCCTGGATCATAGGCTGATGCTCAACCGCTGAGCCATGCTGGCTGGGCCTCATTTCTTTATTTGACAATCTAAGGGAAAAGAGGTCAGTGCCCCTGCCTAGTCAGTCAGGAATTACATGTTTTAAAAATTGTTGCGGCACAACGGGTGAAAATCACTGGTTTAGAGGGCTCTTTAAGTTCTGAAGAATAAAGTGAAAATCTAGGCATCGCCTGTTTACCTTGGGATCTTGCTTGAAGTGGTAGGAGTATGATGTCTCAGCAGAGATGCTTGTGGAGAGGCCACAGATCAGTTCTGTGGGGCACTCCCTGTGGAGTAAGGCAGTACAGAAGGTGTTTACACAGTTGAGTGGTCCTATACAGGGGAAGGGGGGAGGGTGGGGTAGTTTTACCTGCACATTTAATCCTGGGTCCGTTATCCCACACAGTATCGTGAAGAGCGCTTTCGTCTGACCAGTGAGAGCACCAACCAGAGGGTCCTGTGGTGGTCCATCACTCAGACTGTCATTCTCATCCTCACTGGCATCTGGCAAATGCGTCACCTCAAGAGCTTCTTTGAGGCCAAGAAGCTAGTGTAGTGTCCTCTCTGTATGAAATTCCCTCTCACCTCAGTTATTTGGTACTTTCCCCACAGAATACCTTATCCACCTAGCTTGTGAGGGGAAAAAAAATGAAAAAAAGAGTATAAACCACATTGGTTCCCTGGCAATAGAGCATCCCGATCAGCCACTTGTAAACACTGGTTCTCAAGGACACAGGACATTGGTCCAAGCTTTCAAAGATGTCTTGGGGTTTGTGCAGTCAGAACTGACCCAGGACTAAGTCTTGCTTCTTTCACCTCCAGTGAGTCCCCTCCATCCTCTCACAAAATGAGCAAATGACGTCTTTCCTGTAACTTCTGTCTACTGGTGCCGTAGGAGAAGGAAATGCCCTGCCAAGGAGGTCCCGCCTCCCTGCTCCCATCAGTCCTGGGTTCACTCAGTGGCTTCGTGAATGTAAATAAGGGACGGAGGCCCTAGGGGATTGAAATGTTTTTCTATATATTAGAACTATTTTTTGATAAATTATATATTTTCTTTGCTAGTTGAAGTGTTACTGCCTGTGTGTGACTAGCTGACAATGCCAATGCAGCCCTCTATGCATTCTGTTTACCCACACATTTTTGATAACTACTGTGGCAGCTCTCAGGTTTTCAGCCGTGTGTGGGCCAGAAAGCAGATGTCCCAGCTGCTATCGAGGCTGTATCAATAGAGGGCCAAGCAGAGAGTCCTCTGGGACACTTGAGATTTCATCAAACAGCTCCCCAAGGCAGGATACTCTTCCCCTCCCTCTTCCCCTGATCTTTATTTAAGCTATAGTAAATGTTTTCATGGACCAGGTTTGGTTCTTTATACAGATTTTTTCCAGTGAAATAAAATGTGTTGTACTAGCTGTGTTTGAAATGAAATCAGAGGTTGTGGGGAGTCGAGGCACATGGACATGAAGGAAAGACGACCTCTGCAGCTGACCTGCAGTATGTGGGCTTATGGTGCTAGGGTGTGGCCTGACCACAGTCTTAGGATGTGGGTGACGAGTGGTTGCTCAGCCATTCAGAGGTCAACCAAGTAGACGCATCAGCAAGGGATCGTGGGAGGGGGCTAAGGCCCCAGATCATAAGTTTAAGCAGATCTCACTACACTTCCCTCATGCTGTCTGCTGTAGGAAACAGTGCCATTAGTTGCCCTTTCTTGACATTTTACTTCATGGTTTTATCTGATCTACAGAACTAAATTCTCCCCTTCATATTTCTCTCTTTATGTCTGATACTATTCCATATATGTAGCTATTTTTACTTGTAAAAATATATGCAATTTAGATTTATGGGCATTGTCATTTAATATTTTTGTAATTATTTTTGAAATTCTACATATTCCTCATATTTTTAATTCTGGATGGCCGTGTTAGCCCAGTGAGGGGAAATGCCATAATTGACATATCCAAAATTCTTTGGAAATTTAGAATAGTTGTCTTCATGTTAATGTTAACAGAAAATCAGATGGAACTAGCTGGCTGTGTGGGCCACTGGCCTGAGGCTCTGGGGGAGTATGAGACATGTCAGGAAGGAACATGTGTCTGCCCTGTGGCTGCTACTAGGAATCCAGCCAGTAAAAGAGACGAGTCTGGGCTGTGGGAGGACAGGGAACTACAGGTGAGAGCTGAGGCTGGCTTCAAAAGTCTGCCAGTGGTAGACACCATTGCATCTTAATTATGTCGATAGGTCAGTAAGTCCTGGATTTCTCCTGTCAGTTTTTGACAGGAAGGGGAGCAGAGTAAGGACAGATGTGGGACTGCATTACACTACCCTGATGGGGCAGGTGGGAGAAAAATTTCCATACCGCTATGTGGTATTCACATATATTACAGCCTAAAATTTTTTTAAAAGTTTGGCTACATCCACAGAATCCTGGTGACACCCTCACCCCCATCGTACCCTGATTTCCTTTCTGAAATTCTTAGAGCATATTAACGTCATTACCAAACAGCCTTCCACCTCCTTACCTCAAAAAAGGAAGAAAGAGGGTTGAGGGAGCCATTCTATTCATGCCGTCTGCCATCCTGGCTTGGTCCCTAGCTCTAACGGACTGGCAGGCCCCATCTCCATCTTCTGGTCCCAGCCTCACTTTACCTGTGGTGCATGAACTGCTCTGTTCTCACCCTCACCTCTGGCAATCATGCTGGGCCAAAGTCAGAGCAGATGCAAAGGGCCACCAGGGAAACTCATCAACACAGATTCCTGATAACACCCAGAAAGATGGCCCTCCAATGATGTTCGTGTCCTAATCCCTGGAACCTGTGAATATGTTACCTAACATGGCAAAGGGAAATTAAGGGTGCTAACAGCTGATTTTAAAAGGGAGATTGTCCTGGGTTACCTGGGTTCCAGTGTGATCACAAGTTTCCTTAAAAGTGGAGGAGGGAGGCAAAGGAAGGTCACACCAAAGCTGAGAAGGCAAGACAGGAATTGTCCCTCTAGTCTCCAGAAGGGAATGCAGCCCTGCCAACAGCTTGATTTCAGCCCCAGGACCTTTTCAGACTTCTGACCTACGGAACCATAAGTAATAAATTCGAGCTGTTTTAAGCCACTAAGCTTATGGTAACTGTTATAGCAGCAATACCAAACTAATACAGGTAGGAACCAAGAAGCTGCCCCATTTTTTCCCCAAACTATAAAATAAGTTTATTTGGAAAGTCACAGAGGTAGAAGTGAGCCATAGGGGAAATGGGCTCAGGAAACAAGTTACAGAGGCAAAAGAAGGGCCTTGGAGCTTAGGAAAAACGAGCAAGGAAAACGTGCCTGGGGGCAAGAATCTTTTTTTTAAAAAATGTTTTTGTTGACTCCAGAGAGGGAGAGGGAGAGAGATCAATGATGTGTCATTGGTCAGCTGCCTCCTGCTCGCCCCCTGCCGGGGATCAAGCCCTCAACCTGGGCACGTGCCCTGACCGACTCCCGCCATCTCCTGGTTCACCGGTCCACGCTCAAGCCCCGACAGCCAGGTTTGGGGACCCCAGACAGGCCTCCCTTCCTCCGTGTCCCCGGCTACCCATTCCAACCCTCGTCCGGGCACAGTCCAATGGCTGCGGCCGGGAACCTCAGCCGGCCTCTGGCCTCTACCACACGCCTGCACCCGCTGTCACCCGCGTTTACTCAGAAAGCTGTAGTCCCCGCTCCCGTTCCCGCGTCCCCACCACTGCCACGGGCGGCCCGGGCCTGGCCCCCGCAGGGGCCCACGTCCTGAGCGCAGCAGGCGGGCAG